TATATGTTCAGGAACAGAGACTACCCAGAGACAATAATACATGCAGCCTAGGAGAAACTCAGAGAAAAAACAAAGGCGGAGCTACTCAGACCTAGAACACAACAAGTGGAAGACAAGAGATAGATCCTCCCAACCCTTTTCTTCCCCGGCCTTGCAGCACAGCTTAAAATAAAACTCCAGGAAGTATGGACTTGGATGAGGGAAATGTACAGTGAACATCCCTCCTGGGTAAAATTCCCACAAAACCCTCACATGATTGCCTGGAGGTGAGGCAAGTCTATAAAGGACCATCTTGTTAGAGCAAGTGTGCAGGCAGATAATGTTCAGTTCAACCCCAGTTCAACTGAATTCGGGTAGAAGACCAGCCCCAGGTTACACGCCAAAGCAACAAAACCTAGAGACACTAACCTAATCTGACACAGGTTTGGAGTGCGACCTAGGTTCAGACAGAGTATGCGGAGTGGTTAGGAGGGGCCTACAAGTACAAACCACGTTATTGTGACTTCATCTGCATACTATTATATTCATTCTAACTACAGGTTACATAATACTTTATTACAAATCATTTTGGTCACCCAAAATGTTCTCGAACATTGTAAACTGTAGTAATTTAGGTTATCTTATAACTGGTGACAGTGATAGAGTAGTGACAGGAACAGTGTTGCAAATGTTAATTCTACATAGGTAGTCGAGTAATTGGTTACATTGTCAGCAGAATATTGCACATAAATAAATAACGAACAGAACAGAGCGATGGAAGCAAAGTTAGCAAACCATTTGTTAATACCATATTGTGAATAATATTAAATTATAACATGAAAATGTCACACTGTAGGATAATGCATTCAGCTGCCAAAGACTAACTGCTTATATTGAAAGTCATTACAGTAGTTATAAGTTATGTACACAATGTGAAAACAACAATAGATGCAAGATAAATGGCATGCATCACCTGTATATACCAAGTGAACATTGTAAACAAATAAATTATAAACAGAAACAAGACACAAACACAATGTTGAGTTCAGTAATGACTGGCCTGTACATGTTGAGTACATGCTGAAGAAAATGACTGGCCTGTACATGTTGAGTACATGATGAAGAAAATGACTGGCCTGTACATGTTGAGTACATGAAGAAAATGACTGGCCTGTACATGTTGAGTACATGCTGAAGAAAATGACTGGCCTGTACATGTTGAGTACATGCTGAAGAAAATGACTGGCATGTACATGTTGAGTACATGCTGAAGAAAATGTCTGGCATGTACATGTTGAGTACATGCTGAAGAAAATGTCTGGCATGTACACGTTGAGTACATGCTGAAGAAAATGTCTGGCATGTACATGTTGAGTACATGCTGAAGAAAATGTCTGGCATGTACACGTTGAGTACATGCTGAAGAAAATGTCTGGCATGTACATGTTGAGTACATGCTGAAGAAAACTTGCAAATTCAAGAACTATATCATAAATAGGGAGAAAGAAGCAAAACGTTATGCAGTTTGAAGATGGTACCAAAGTTCAACTTGAGTTCAAGTAAACATACAAGACATCACCACAATTAGTAAGAGGCATAACACAAAGGCAAAGACTGATACAAATTTGCAAATACATAGGGTACATGAAGTATGGCTACAAATGCAGCTATTATATGCCAAACCCAAAACTGTATCACATTCTCTAGGAATACGTTTACAATGATATCCACACCACACATCAGAAAATGAAGAAATGAAAATGTTTATGTCTGTCCTGAACCATTATCAAGTCGTGATAATGATCCAGGACTTGATAATGGTCCAGAACAGACCAAAACCTCATCATGTCTTCATTTTTTGATGTGTGGTTTGGATATCACTAGCTTCTGGATATCACTATATCTTCAGCCACATTATTGTGACTCATCATCTGCATACTATTACAATTGTTTGGATAATTATTTATTATTGGTACACAATGAAACTTTGTGGGGTGATCAGACAATCTGCACTGAAAATTCAAACAAAACAATATCCTCAAAGTTTCATATTTGACCATATTGAACATCTGACACGCATCTGAATAACTTAAGTTTTTCAGTGTTCATGCTAAATAGGCCAAAGTGTACATATGTATATTACACAATGGCCTATGGATAACAGAACATACAAAATAATCTATAATTGTTGGTGGGAGGGGAAAGAGCTGCAGAATTGATTATCTGTTGGCACCTGCAAGTTCTTAAGCAGTAGCATGAACTAGCAGGGGAAGTTGAAAGACTGAACAAGCATTAAATGACCTGACACACTGGCCATTTTTTTGGCTGAAGTAGAAATGGCATGACTAGGCTAGACCAGCATCACTGCCTGCAGCAGTCAGCGGGAGTATCAGGCTGTAGCACAAGGACCAGTCTCACAACACAGTTCCAGCCTGAAAAAACAGTTCAACCAGCACAGTGGTCAAACATAGACAAATGGCACACACTTAAAGGTGAAAGGCATCTTCAACTGAACAGAGAATGATTGAAGAACATAAATGTTCAAAAACAGTCACATCCTAGAAAGCTGCAAGCAGCAGAGGCTGGCACTGAATTGGTCAAAGATTTCATCATGACTTGACTGGCAGTGAAGATGAAGTAAACAGACCTCCAGGAGGCAACTGGTACTGACTTCTCAGACTTTGGCAAACAGGCAGGCATGCAAGTGAAACACTGTCTGCAAGTTGGCAACCCAACCCCCAACTAATTTATTCTAATTTTTAGGACCTCCTTTACTTGGAAAATAATTACAAATTTTACTCTCTAAAGTTATCAGTGAAAGCCATGAGGAGGGTTTGAACGTATGCTCTAGGTACTTTTAAGTATATACCTTAGACCACTACACCATGACCAGGTTAAAAGCAATGCAATCCCAGGTTGCAATGCTTTTGACCATTTTGTGGTTTAGTGGTCTAATGCATGTGCCTAGGAGTACCCAGCACGGAGGTTAGAATCATCCTCATGGCTCATACTTATTTTCTCACTGATACATCACATTAATGTGATTTCTTTGTCCATTTCAAGGGAAATGTTGGATCTGAACTCCTAGACTACAGCCAGAGTGCATGAGGCAATGCTTGAAACCCAAACTTGACTTCATTTGAAACTTCAGAACCCCTAGAGGATTCAGTCGAATCCCAGGTTGCACTGCTTTTGAACATGTCGTGGTGTAGTGGTCTGATGTATGTGCTTGTAAGTACAGAGAGCATAGGTTTGAATCATCCTCATTGACACATTACGTTAATGTGATTGCCTTGTACACATGAATTCAAAAGGAAAAATGCAGTATGTTCCATACAAGTGGAATATATATATATATTGACAGGAGAGGTGGTTATTACCCTATCAAGAGGCCTGAATAATCTATCTCCTGTATTCTCACTGGCTGACTGGGGCGGTATGTGTGGCATAAACTGGCATTTCTCTCTTGGATTTGGTGATGGCAGGACATACAGGTGTAAACCAATTGTTGATCAATGGATGAGGGGGTTTAATACGAGTTGGTACCCCCTTAGTTGGTAGGGGGGTACCAACGGATCACTTATACAGTATCTCTTGTTCATAAGGTAAACAATGCTAAATCAACCCATCCTAGTGGTAACACAGTTAGGTTCACTCTCTGCTGACAATTGGGAATCCTGGGTTCGAATACCAAGCGGGACAGAAGATAAGGTAATTATCAAAAGAAGGCACCAAATCAGGAAGGCTATGTAGCAACATCAAAGTGCGAAATAATCAGAGGGCACTAAATATCACCAAGAATGCCAATGCGAGAACAGAAACGCATAAGGCGAACGATATCAGAAGTATCCGATTCACCAAGAATTCTATCGAGGACAAGTAACCGCGAGGGACGGTCGGAGAGCAAGGCACACGCTTGTCCTGGAAGTCAGAACATTCAACAAGGATATGCACAACTGTAAGAGGGACAACACAATTTGGCCAATAAGGAGCAGGGCGGAGCTCCATTAAGTGACCGTGAGTTAAGCGAGTATGTCCAATCTGCAGCCTTGCCAAAGAGTTTCCCATCGCCAGTTACGGTGATAGGAAGAAGACCACGGGGACACTACGTTTGAGAGTACTCAGCTTGTTACCATCTACAGAGGACCAACAACCCTGCCAACGGGCAAGGATGGAGGAATGAATAACAGGATAAAAGTCAGAATAAAGAATACCTTTACGGGAGATGGGACAAGAACAGATAGCTTCCCTAGCGGCAGCATTCGCACGCTCATTGAAAGAAACACCAATATGGCTGGGAACCCAACAAAACTCTACTGATTTAAATTTACTAGAAATAAGAAACAGTCAATGTTGAATCTTGATGACCACCAGATGGACAGGATTAAAGGACCCCAGAGCCATGAGGGCACTATGAGAGTCAACTAGAACCACAAAGGAGGAATGACAATGAGAAAGCAAGAGACGGAGAGCATAAAGTTCTGCTGTGAAGACACTAGCCTCCGAAGGGAGGCAACACATATAAGTGCGGTCAGGAAAAACAACAGAGTAGCCCATACAGTCCGCAGACTTAGACCCATCGGTGAAGATGGAAATAGAGTGAGAGTGCAAAGAAAAGTGCTCAAGGAAATGGCGTTTCAGAACCGTAGGAGGGGTAAAAGCTTTAGTGATGAAAGTCAAGGACGTACAAAACTTTGGAAGGGGGACTCTCCACGGAGGAGGCGGGACAGAAATAATTGGGCATTCTCAATATCACAACACCTCTGTTCACCTAGCAGCAAATAGGTACCCAATAGTTAGGGAACTGTTGAGGGATTGCATCCCAAGGATTGTAAATAGTTCAACCTTGGGAGAACTCAATTTATGCCTAACATACATACATACATATACACAGGCTGCTTGTCCCTGACAAAAATGAATTATTAAGTAAATAAATACAAGAAACAGTTAATAATTGTGATAACAATGAAAGCAGTACTTACTAAATTTGACTAGAAAATTCAACCCACTTATACCATCTGTTTGTTCATGCTTTTATTTGAAGTGCAGACATCTCCAGTACATTAAGCATCCCACATTATTTTTAATGTTTAGCACCATTATAGCCCTAATTACTTTAGTCATTAACTAGTCTGTGTAGTGGTTTCCATCAAGGATAAAGAGAGTGCAATATATCATAACTATAATTTTGCAAAGGAGAAATGTGTGACTGCATAGGATTTTTTTTTTGTTTTGTTTTTAATAAAAAAGTTAAATATTATAAAAATTGTGCTGAATAACTAAGATTCCTAAAGTATCAAGTCCTAGAATAACAAGTAAGTAAGTAATTATCAAAGAGGCACCAAGCCAGGAAGGCTATGCAGCACCATCAACTAGAATAACAAGATTTAATATATTTTTTATAATTCTGCACTCTTGCAAATTACAGTATTTGATACAAAAATCAACATTATGAAGGCTGCTTATTTTCATCTAGAGGCCTTCTCAATTAATAATACCTGTAAATGGATGGCTTGCTAATCAACCCATTCTCTCACCAAATATGTCACATTTTTAACATAATCCATTAAAATGTGATTATTGGTGAAAGTGAATACTGTACACTATAATTTTGACATTTTCTATGCATTGGCCTCGATAGGTTATGTGGGTTGCTTGGGTTTATATGATTCTGGTTAGGCAAAACCGTTGCTTTTTTTCTTTTTTTCTGAAGTGGGAAATCAGGAGAATGAGCTGTACTAACAGTGTACTAACAATGATTCTCAGAAACTGCAGAAACAACTTAATCTTTTCTTAGTAAATGCAAAAAGTTATTTTTTTCTCTGTAGTTCTCAGATTATTATTCATTCTATATATATTGAAGGCCTCAAGATGTGATATGTATTAGTTAAACACTCTTCATAAAATTGTAGTTTTTACAATACAATATACAGTACTGAATATCTAAAATATATTGTGTATTTCACCTAATATTTTATGAGTTTTGGACATGTGATGAAGTATTACCAGCAACAACCACTTAAGGCTGTTGTCTTCCTTACTAAAGTAGAAATGGAATTACAGCTTTACGGCTTTTAGGGTAGTCTTCAAACTTCTTTATGTACCACCTGGAAAATAAAAATTAGCAATGAAGAATAACTCATAATATTGTAGTGTGACAAACAAAATTGCACAAAACACTCACAAATTTAACATGAAAATGGACAGCATTTTAGTCTGCACTGGAACAAGATGTCTGCCTACAGCAGACAAAAATATTTTCACTTTATTTTCTAATTTGAAGGAGTGTTAAGAAAACTTGTAATACTGTACCATACTGGAATGTAATTTAAATGCAAGTGGTGTGAGTGTCCACCTCTACTTTCTTCACATTAACCACTGAACTGCACCAACCAAATATTCTCAGTCGGTGGGAAACTGCGCTAACCGAGAAAACTCTGATTTTATCGTACCCATTCTAAATGTGTGCGCGGTTCGTTGTGTATGAAATGGACTCTTAGGACCTCCAATGAGAGGGAGCCATCTTGGAAAAAATTCTTGGACTGCCCTAGGGCTGCTGGCTGGATTAGTACTGAGTGAGCAACCATGGGTGATGCATGTGCCTCTGGCTCCCAAACACCTGTCCGACGCGGTGTTGAAAGATCGCGCGCTGTCGGTGAAATTCAAATCTTATTGTTTAAAGAACATAAGGGTCATAATATTGTTGAAGCTAGGCACAATAAGGACCTAACACAAAGGTCGGATACAAGTGATTCAGCACCTATGAGGACGACACAGCGAGCGTATTCAGTTGTAGCTCTGAGTGGCACCCTTGCCCACCTATGCCATCTCCATTTTATATAGATGATACATAGATGAATCGTTTTCTGCGTTCAGTGATGATGCATCTGATACAAGTAGCATAGATGAACAGTGTTAGCGGCTTCCATGGTTGTGTTTTCCATAGATATTTTCAAGAATAGCCGAATCTCTTTTTGACTGACAGACACTCTTCGAGGCTGGCTGAATCACTTCCTGTGTGGGACCTTACAAAGCGATCTTTTCAAGACTACCTTGCAAATTGATCTTTTCCTATAATCTTTTCAAGACTACCTTACACTTTACAAGCTTGGCTACATACCACCTACAAGTACTAAAGCCAAGGGTGTACGTGAGTGTGTTATTTGCAAGCACACAGAACGAAGAAACAGGAAGTGAAAATCTATATCTGTACCTGGTGCAACGAAAGTGAAGTCGCGCTGTGTACCATGGACTACTTAATTGATTATTACTCACTTCCGAAGTACTGAGTGTGTAATATAGTGTGTTACTGTGTAAATAGTGTGTGAAACTGTACATATTGTAATTTTAGTAAATTTTTAACAAGTAATACTGCAACAATAAACATTTATTGTGGACACATTACTGACTTAATGTATCACAGTTCCATGGAACATTATGAATGTTCTACTGTATACATATTGTAAAGGACACAAATATGCATCATATACGATAAAAAAATAAAACCACATTGGAAATACATAGAACAAATAATTGAAAATATATTTGTGGCATCACCCAGTATTTGAATGGCCCGCGCAACCGTGTCTAGGCGTGTCACGCACGAGCGTCCAGCCCCTGATGACATCACAGCACACCTTGTCCACGTCCCCCACAGCCAAAGTAAGTGGAATTTGGTAATTATTTTTACATAGATATGTTCAGGGAAGGGAATTTATCATTTTACAAGGAAAACAGAATTCTTGGGGAACACTTGATTTCATGCGCACAGGGGGAATTTCACAATAAACTTGGCGCATCACAGTGGTTAAAGCAATTTGACTTAATAATGCAACATTCACAAACTGCATTTACTTTAATTATTTTGTTTACTGTTACTTTGATAAAAAAGCATATCATTCTATTAAGGTCTTTATATTATTATTTAAAAGTTAATTAAATTATATTAAACAATATAAAATACAACTTTACAAACTACCAAGAACTAATAAAGACAAGTACCAGGTAGCAAAATACTTTTTTTTGTACAAAACTGAAAGCTGTCCAGCATATATATACACAAGAAAACAAACAAAATCTTGCCTATGGTGATCAAGTGCTCTCCTGGACAAGAAGAGCGTTGTGAAGACTGCATGTGCAACAGCAGGAAGGGAGAGACTGGCCAAAGCATACCCCCACATTTCCACAATCTCACCAAAATAGTTGGGGCATGAGATTTTCTCAAACAATCCTCCTGCAAAATACATAGAACAGCAATAGTGTGTTCCTAATATAAAGGCAGTGAGTGAGTGGGGTGAAGGGTGGTGGTGGGTTTTGTGTGGGTTTTTGTAGGCGTTGGTGGATGGTGGTGGGTTTTTGCCTGTGCATGTGCGTGCGCTCAGGCACAGGCACGTTTATGCATGATAAATTCTATTGTGGCCGTTTATGAATGACCAGATAAACTGGAATGTGAAGTAAGAAACATTGTGAAGCAAAGCCTATTAATCTGTATAATACTGATGAGCAAGGCTAGGACAAAAACCTGCAGGGGCCGAGACAAGGTGAAACAGAACATGGATGAAATCGTGAGAGATTGTGTTGTCTAGAAGTACCGAGGCCAAGAGATTGGTTCATTGCAGTACAAAGTAGCTCAAGTATGAATTAAATTCTAACACCCATTCAATTAACCATTTCCATTACATAACTATAGGTACGCATAAATACAATGATAGTAAACGAATTATGTTGAACATATGTGGATTAACCTTTTCTCTTCAAGCATACATTTTGCAAGCATTTGCCTCAAAAGGTTGATTTGGAACTAATTTCTGAAAAGGAACACCTATGTGTGTGCCTTAGGCCAGCACACAAGGGCTCCGAGATCCATCCATCAATTACGGAACTGGAACCAGGACCAGAATCATAGTACCTTGGCTGCGTGGCAGTGTTACCCTCTGAAGCGGCTTATTTGTGGGCCTGCATCTTGTGATATTGGCCAGTCGCTGTTGCTAGGGTTGCAATGTCTCCCATGCCTAGTTCAAAATGGCCCTCTGCTACTTACAACTTATAGGATGTTCAGCAAGGTTTGTTTGCTCCAGTGGTAACCCATAATGACTCCACCATTTCTGTGTCTTGGCTAGTCCACTCACTCGTGCATTGGCCATCCAGGCAGTGCCTTGTATTCCAGATGCGAACATTGCTGTTAGGCTAGTATTGGAAAACTAAACACTTACACACAGTATTTGACAGTACATTGGACATTGCCAAACTGGTGCCAAACATGAGTGAGGTGGGCTCTGTGTCTGGTCTCAAAGTGACCCAAGCTGTCACTTAGTGGTGGAGGAAAAGTTGTTGAAATTGCACAGCCTCTAGTTTCTATTTCTGCTTTGATGATTTGGCATGTTTTCCAAACATTTCTCAAAAAGCATTTTGGTGCATTGTAGCTACTTTTCATTACTTTTGGTGCAGTTTGCCAAGTCTTGTATTATTACCATCTAGTGGAAACACAAAGGAGTAGCAATACTGGCAGAAGCAGATGTTAAATCACAAGACCTCTCCCCTTACAGCAGTTCAGTAAATAGAGGTCAAATCCCCTTGCCCCCCACCTCGTCCATATATGGCAAGGGCCCTTGCCCCTGGTTTCTTATTAGTCTCGCAGGGACCTGATGTTCACTAATCTGTTCGACAATGTGTAGTACATAAGCTCAGGGTATCTACTGAAGAGTCAGCTCAGAATTAAAGCATTGGTTGTAATGAAATGCCTTGGTCTAGGTTCCACTTTGGAAGCTCACTTCAGCTTACATTCCTAGAATGAACAGAATACTTGTAAGGATTCTTGGGGACAATCTTGACACTGAGGAGAGGCACCATTTCAATCAGTCTTGTAACATTGAGGGCAATGTATCAGGAGAACTTGTATGAATCGGATATAAACTATCGAGATGAACAGCCTATAATTGAAATTAAATCACAAAATGCTCAACCCTCTTAATTTTTATAAACTGCTAATTGTCAAAACTCTCAGAATAACCTATTTCCCCACTAATCCAACTGCCACTAAGTGGCATCCTGAGCAGCCCAAAGGTTGGGGTCAGTAATCCCTCCCAAACTTAAACCTCAACATGCCCCTCAACATGGATAATGGAGACCGTGGCAAGAAATGTGAGCTACTGGTAATCATCGCTAGGTACTGAGGTGCACCCCCAGAAAGGAGCATACAACACTAACTCCCATTAAACCCAGAAGAGGCAAAGTTTAATTATCCCAGAAACTCTCAGGAAAGTTCATTCCCACCTCAAGTGCATAAATTCGATAAATGGGGGCGAATGTCAAATCCCACAATAAACCAGAGCAATCAACATGACATCACCATGTGAGAGGGTTGGCTCACCTTTGGCCCTTGGGTAGCTGGGTAGCTGGGCTGCTGGGCTGCTGGGCTGCCCAAGGGCCAGGTAGTTATGTAGTTAGCTCAATGGGGGGTTTACAGTTCATATGATAGTTTGGTAATTAACAATTTCAGAACTCCTTTCACAGGTAATATTTTTAGACTTTTCCATTTCTTGAGGTTGGTCTCTGATCTCCACAAGCTCTCCAGTTGTGAGGAGGAAACAAGTAATAATGGTGCTTGTCACCACAGCATGTCGAGATTGATCATTGGGAGCATGGCATCGTCACAGTTCTCCATCACATCTTGGGAATGTAAGCTGATATGAGCTATCAAGTCGGGTCGAATTTGAGAATAGGGTGAATCCCGGAAGAAATGTGGCTGGTTAGAAAAACATGATGGGAATAAAAGCTGTTAGCTTTATGCAGCCCTATAATAAGCTGTTAGAAGGTTGCATGAAGGAGCGGTGGTGGTGGTGCTGCCTGTTTTGAACGTTTACAAAATGATAGTGTGATATAAACATAATAAATCTCTAGTTATTACAGTAGAAATGAATAATCTGAGAAGCATTTGTGATGTAAGAATAGCAAAAGGTAATAAGGTAATAAGAATAGCATAGAGGTAATAGAGTAAGGTAATAAGGTCTTGGAGGTTGAGTGGAAATAAGTCAATATACCACAAAATTAATAAGAGCACGCAGATATAATTTAGGCAAGTTGAATGAAGAGATGACAATAAGCCTGTGAAGGAGAGTATTTGAGAGAAAAAGAGTAAGGTGGGCACACACATGGTGTGTGTGTGTGTAAAGCAACAGTGTGTGAACAATTTGCAGGTATTGATAAGGGATAAAGCTGGGTAAAAGCTGTTTGTTAGGTTGGACTGAATGTACAAATCCACTGAATGTATTTGTTTGCAATGTACAATTCATGAGGAGCTTTGCTCACACAGTTTTTATGAAGCAGTGGAGTGCTGCTGGATGACTGCTGCAGTGTGGTGGTGTTTCTTTATCTTTGATGCTATACACAATAAATGATATGATGAACAGATGAGCAATGTTTTAATTTAAAATATCTACAACTTTCATTATATTCAGCTTTTTTCTCTAGCTTTATGCCTCACTATTCCATGAAAATGGAAAACATGTAAATGATAATGAATGTGAATATATAATGCAATATAATAAATACTTATTGAAAACCAATTGTATTGGACAATACCAAGTCATAAATGTTTCTTATGCATCAAAGTTGCAATGACGGCCTGAAGTTAGGGAAAAATTTATATTGCTGTTCCAAAATCTCTCTTCTACTATATAATTATCTATTCAAACTAAAACCAATCATATCAAAATAATTCTGTACTATAGTAAAATTAAAGATAATATACTGCACAAACCTGTAGGTATTTTATAGCCTGTTTCATTCCCTTTTCTCAAGTTTCTTAATGCTGCATCTGCTCCAATGTTGGTCTTCATACCATAAATAAATAATACGAATCCTGAAAAAAAAGGGAATTGAACATAATGAAAACGCCCTTTTTTCTGATAAGAGCCCCGGTGGTTCCTTGAAGCTATCTTGCTCAGATAGCTCCCCATAACTGAGTCCCATCAGCTGCAGAAGTCATGTTGGCCTGCCAGGGACCAGAGCCAGAATCTGGGCCCCCTGCACAGAGGTGCAGAGTGCTGAGGACTATTATCATCACCCTCGCTGAGAAAGCATCCAGAAAATCAGTGAAGTTTTACAGACAACTGCAAGGATTATAGAAAATTAGGCATCAAAACGGCCAAATGACTGCAAACAATTCAGGTGGCTAAGAGCCCCAACCCACAGCCATTTCCAATGATCAGTCCAGAGCTGATAGACAACAAACCTGCAAGGGAGAGGAGAGTCAGGAAGCAACTGGGGTTCTAACAGAAAGAGGCATTTTATTACATTCAACCCAAGTTTCTGGAAGAAGCCCCCTTGATGACTCCCTGAAACTAAATCACCACAAAGGAAAAGGAAAACAAGAGACTTACTAGGGAGGAGGAGAGACTGCAGGAACTAGGATGAAAAGGAGACTGAGGGGCCAGCAAACCCTGCTCAATGCCACACAAGACTGACCAAGACCAAGGGCACTAATCAAATATCAGGTTGCCAGGAGCCCATCAGAACCCCAAAACCCTGAGCCCAAATAGAAACTCACAACATGATGAGTCACAGCCACTGCTGTATACAAACTCTACTTAGCTGTGGGTTAACTAGCCAATCAGCAGTCTAGTTATGATGACACTGCTGACAACCAGAAGAAAACGAGCTTTAGAACCTGGGGATCAAGGAAATAGGTCCAACATACAAGGCATCCACTGAAGCAGGACTGGTGGCATGCAGGCAGCAACGAAGTGCTAGTACTCTATACAACAAATGGTGCACCCGCTGCTATACAAAATGAGAAGCAATCACCAAGGGACCAATCCAAACTAACCTCAAGAGGAGAGTAAGAATATCTCCAAACCCCACAGCAAGAGGTGAGAACCAGCAAAAACACCTCTCTGGGAAAATATCAGCAAGCTGCCTGCATGGAGAGAATCCTCAGGAGGGACTCATTCACCATATAATCTTGAACTTCTAGTAAAATCAAAGCAACATGGTTTTGTTAAAAATAAATCTTGCCTTACAAACATACTCACATTTTTGAAAACAGTAACCAGCTACTCAAACATACTTCCAGTAGATATAGTATACATTAACTTCGCTAAAGCTTTTGATTACAAACCACATGAAAGACTGGCAAGGAAATTGCAAGAACATAGAATAAATGGTAGAATACTAGAAAAGATTAAATAATGGTTAAAACAAAGAAAACAAGGGGTCATTCTAAATGGAAATGAATCTGACTGGAGAAATTTGGCATGTGCTGTAACACTAGGTTCCATTTTTGGGCCAATCATTTTTGTCATTCACATTAATGACAGATAAGAATATTACAAATCACATCACCAAATTTGTAGATGACACTAAGATTTATGGTAAAGTAGGAACTGAAAAGGATATCAAGGCCTTACAAATGGTTGGAAAATTGGAGGATTATTTTTAATATCGACCAACAAGACTCCTGCAATTGATGTGACCCAGTAATGGGGAGCCATCTCAGTGAGATGGCTTCAGGAAGCCACAAGGGGCTCCCAGAAAGTTGTATTTTTCCAATAAACTGAAAATTATAACACGACAATAAAAGATTATATAATGCTGTACAATTTAAAGCTAGATTTGTATTGTGAAAATCACAGTTTCCAAGATAACTATGTTGCTTTCTTATGCAAGGTCTTGCTATTTCAATTATTTAAAAAACAAATGAATTTAGAAATGTAGACACAACAAGATCAACAAGGCAATGATCATTGCCACGGGTAAATATTCTAACCATGATGAGCCTGACAATTGATCACTGACAGCGCCTAACAGATGGTATCACTAGTTTAACACCTGTAGCTTTTGCTGGGCCCATCACCTGCTACATTTTAATTAAGTGGTGCTGCCTCTTCCTGTGGCAATAGTTCTGCTCGGGCCATTGCTTTGTTTCTATTTATGCGTCATGATTATGTTTATGCTACACACATTGTGTGCCCCCTGTGGACAGGGTTGCCTTCTCTGGAATTAGCTTGCATCTCCCTACACCCCCACTGGAAATATCTGCTCTGTGTTGTGGGGTTTCTCCTCTATGGAATGACTCCTCTCGAGTCACCTCACTTCCTCCAGTGCATGAGATGTTTTCTTCCATGTGTGGCCTGCTGATGGGGAAAGAGGCTATGGACTGTGTACAGTACTTGTGAATATTAAAGGACCTGCCTCCTGTGTACCCTAGGGGCTTTAAACTTTAACCAAAGGTGCACTTTGGTCTCAAAGTTATTTTTCATAATCTTTGGCTACATTCATTCTCCTTCCCTGAATGCTCTAGTCAACCTGCTTGCATCCCAACCAGATTGCCTTCTGACCTGCTTGCCTGTTGAGGTAGCTGCTTGCTGACTTTTATGCATATAAACTTGCCTGTCTGTGGGTTACCTGCATGCCTATCTGTCTGTGGGCTACCTGCATGTTTGTCAACTTGACTGCAAGCTACTGACTTACTTGCTTGCCAACCTACCTCCCTGCCTATGACTAGGAGCAAGAACACTTCACACAAATTGGCATTATAAACTGTCAATGTTTCACTCCCTTACAAACAGCTCCCACCAATCTTGCTCATGTCACTTCTCATCCATCCTATCTGCAAATCTTCTCCACCTTACTCTCGTCTCCTTGCCTCAAACAACCTTGAATACACTTTCCTCACTAGCCTAACATTACTGGTATGTTCCAACGGACCATGCCACCATGGCAAGCTCACCCCAATCTTAGCCCTAGACTCTTACACTACTTCTATATAAATAAAAATGGAAATGCTCATTTGTTCAAAATCGCTAATCTCCGAAAGTTCTTCACCGATTGCTTTGAAATTTTCACACAATGTTCCATTCGTATCCGAGCAGGTTTTTATATACATATTATATTGATGTCACATCTGTGCCGGAAAAATTTTTTTTTTTTTAAAAGTGTGTTTCTCATGTGAGAGAAATCTTTGAAACTTTTTTACCGATTGCTCTGAAATTTTGATGCGTCGTTGCATTCAAATAGGCGCGTGTTTTTATATACCTACTATATAAATGCCTTACCTGTGATCGGAGAAAACATGCTTTTTTTTTAAAAAGCATCGCCATCTGTTGAATGTAAGAGCAACACATGTTGTAATCTCCGAAAGTTCTTCACCGATTGCTTTGAAATTCTGACACAATGTTTCATTTGAATATGCGCGTCTTTTTATATACCTACTATATAGATGCATGGTAAAAACATGCGTTTTTTAAAAACAGCGCCATCTGTTGCACATAATAGCAACATGTACACTATACTAAATATGTCACGAATTCCATTTCAATGTTTCCGATTCCATTGATAAATTTTGTTTTCATAGATTTTTATTTATTTTATTTTTTATTGAATTATTCTGTGTGATATTGTGTTAGAACTGAGCTGTGTTGTTTACCATACCATTCATTTCGTAAGTATAAGTATAGATGCCATACCTGTTACAGGTAAAACTATGCATTTCTTGAAAAACAGTGCCATCAATTGCATGTAAGAGCAACACATATGCTATACTAAATATGTTACTATTCCATTTCAATGTTTCTGAATGCATTGATAAATTGATATTTCATAGATTTTGATTTATTTTCATTTTGATTTAATTATTTTGTCTGAATTGAACTGTGTTGTTTACCACACCGTTCATTTTGTGAGTATAGCTTAGTTTTTTACTTTTTCAAATGTTCAATTATTTTTTTAACTGTTTTTCTTATATTTCAGTGATGGGAACATCAGATCACTTGATGCTCCCAATTTTCTGACGGGATCATCAGACCATTTGGGAAGGCATCAGACGGGGAAGTGGGGAATGGTGGGGATGACGAGGGGACGGAAGTGAGAGATTGTGGGAAGGACGAGGGGACAAGAGAGGGGGTAATGGTGGGGAAGGACGAGGGGGACAGGGGAGTTTGGGATAGTGGGAACGAGGGGAGGACAAAGGGACAGGGGAGTGTGGCATTGTGGGAAGGAAGAGGGATAGTTGAGTGGGAAATGGTTGGGAGGACGAGGGGGACAGTGGAGTAGGGGAATGGTTGGGAGGCAGAGGAGACGGGTGTTGGGGGAATGGTGGGGAGGACTGGGGGACAGGGAAGGTTGCTGTGGCTCAGCAACGGACATGCGTTGCCGAGCCACAGCAACGCGTGGCCAGGTACTGCTAGTATCCTCATAAAATTGTATATGATTAGTTTTTACTTATTTGTCAATAGATACTGTACTCATATCAAAACTAGTTTTTCACACGCATACAGCCATACAATAGTGTTGGATAATATTTTTATTCTACAAACTATTTCATACAAAACTTACAATTAATTAGACATTACCCATGTAAAAATTTGGACAATATAGCCAGTCTTCATTTTTGTAGTGATAGAAGTTGACAAAGTATAGCCCATGAAGAATTCCATTATAGAGGCAGGTTAGAAATGCAAAGAAGAATGGTAGAAATGGAGTCGGCTTGCTGCTCTTCATCAAGAGAGGGAAGATGAAGGATCTGCAATAATACACATGCATTAGATATGAAATAATACAAATTGTAATAAAACACATGAATCACATACGATAAAATAATACAAATATGCAGCAAAAAATATGAGATTACTGTACAAATATGGAATACAACATGTACAGTACCTTAGGTAAGATAAAATAACACAAATATGCAATAAACCAATTGCATTAGGTATGATAACATAATATAGATATGCTAGCACTTAAATCTAGTACAGTACAGTTAAAAAAAAAAGAGCATGTTTTTATCAAATATTTATAATTCTTTATATAAGGCAAGTAATCTAAATTATAAGACATTCTTTCATGTTTGGGTATCTTAAGAGTCAAACCAGGCACACCTTTACTACAAATATTTATTCATCTTATATGAATAAATATTTGATCTTTATTCATCTTCCTTCTCTTGATGAAAATGGTCACATTTGTTAATATTTATTTCATCTATTCAGAATTTCGATTATTTTACATATTCAAACAGTATAGTATTTAGTTTTTTTGGAACAGTAAGCCTGTGTGTATATAGGCATGTATAAAGGTCCCCCTCCCCCCCCTCCCCCAAGGTCAAACTACTGACCCTCCCAAGGATACAACACCACAACAGTTGCCTAACTACCGGGTAAATATTTACTGCTAGGTGAACAAAGGCATTAGGTGAAAGGAATGTGCCCAACCATTTTTGCATATACTGTATGTTGAATACAGACCAAAAGGGCAATATATTATTTGGAGAGAAGTGTATGGGGAAGTGATGAATTTGAATGGGGTAACAGAGTACTGCACATTTACAGACAGTACAAAATAAGATGCAAGCTGGGCCCCAACATTGGAGCCCATTTCCAACATTGACGAATGTTATGTTACCTTTCCTTTTGTTTACCTTTCCAAGTGGACAGTGCTTGGGGTTCGTAGTCCTAAGGGTCTAGGTCTGATCCCCAATGGAGGTGGAAATAAATAGGCAGAGTTTATTACACCCTGATGGTCCTGTTCACCTAGCAGTAAACAGGTACCTAGAAGTTATGACAGCTGTTACAGGCTGCTTCCTGTGGATGTGTGTGTGTGTGAAAATTAAGATTAAGGACTTGCCCAAAACATATGCATGCTAGGAGCTGTACAAGAATGTAAGAACTCTTGTACAGTGGTACCTCGGAATGCGAGTGTCCCTGTATGCGAGTTTTTCGGAATACGAGCAGGATTTCCTCGAAAAATATGTCTCGGAACGCGAGGGTTACCTCGGGACACGAGTTTGTTGATACGCGTACAGGCCGACCCAGCTCTCATCATGGGTCCCAAGAAAGCCAGTGGTAAGGATAAAGGCCAGAAAGCCCATGTGAGGATGACAATAGAGGAGAAACAAGAGATCATTCGGAACCATGAGAACGGTACACGTGTTGAACTTTGTAGGCAGTACAACAAAGCCACATCAACAATATGCACTATACTTAAGAAGAAAAATGAGATTATGAGTGCTAAAGTGGCAAAAGGAGTCAGAACAATAACGAAACAAAGACCACAAATACTTGAAGAAGTGGAAAAGTTGTTATTAATTTGGATACATGACAAGGAGTTAAGGGGAGACAGTGTTTCGGAGGCCATTATTTGTGAGAAAGCCAGGGTTTGGACAGATTTGTGGTGAGGAAATCGAGCAGTGAGCCTTAACCAGGACCTAGTGGCACTCAGATAAAACGTCCCAGGGAGAGCACACCAGAAAGGTTTTCACTGCCTGATGTGATAATGGAAGGGGACTCTCCTTCCAAACAGTAACTCCTCTCCTCCTCCCCCCTCCTCACCATCTTCCATACGCCTACAGCATTCAACAGCAAGGTAAGTAATAACTTGAACATAGTTTTGTAGGTATATTTAGATGAATTAGGTATAAAAATTTAGTTTGATGTGGGGTTTTTGGGGTAGTCAGGAACGGATTAATTCATTTCCCTTTATTTCTTACGGGGAAATTAGCTTCGGAATACGAGGCGTCTCCAGGAACCAATTAAACTCTTAAACTGAGGTATGCCTGTACTGTATATATAAAATATAAAAAAGGGATTTCGAGGATCAACGTCCCTGCAGCCTAGTCTTTGCCCAGGCCTCCTGGTAAGGGTTTATTATTCAGTCAATTATCCAATTACAGTACTCTCTTTCTTAAAGAGCACTGTGCTTTATGTTTTGCCCTGCTTTCCAATACTACACAATGTTTATGCTATGTACAGTACACCAAAAACACAAATGGAAAGTTAGCCATAAACATAGCTTTTAGAGCTTTGAGGAGTCAACCTGTCCACTCAAATACTACACCTCATAACAGTATTACAGTAAATACAAATTTTACATTTATTTATTAAGCAGTCCCTGTGATGTAGTGGTCAAGACGCTCACCTGGCGTTTCACGAGTGCTTTGTCCTGGGTTCGTATCCTGGCCGGGGAGGATTTACTGGGTGCAAATCCATAACTGTAGCCTCTGTTGAACTCAACAGTAAAATGGGTACCTGGTTGTTAAATGATTTTTTGCAGGGTCATATTCTAGGGAATATTTGGATTAAGGACTTACCGAAATGCTACGCATACTAGTGGCTGTACAAGACTGTAAGAACTCTTATATATGTATAATAAATAAATAAAATAAATATAAAATATGCTATGATTCCCAACGGACAAAATACAGGGTATTATGAAAAGCAGCCGCTCACAAGCGGCCCAATTTTCTGTGTTGGTTGGTCAAGTTAGGTAAGGTGGGTGTATTGGGTTCGTGCATTTTAGTACCTTACATTTTGTCCGTTATGGCAATATGAAAAAAATGGGCTAGAGAGGTACACAATGATCACAACATACATGGGTATATTGCACATATAGCTCATTTTTTTAATTATTTAAATTGTACATATCATTAGATAAATTTGGCTGGGTTGTGCTATATAATAAGCTAAATTGATTATAAAATCTATTGGCAAATCTTAATTCATAATACATATTACTGTATATGTATAAAGAAATCCGTTTCACCAGAGAACATATATATATATACACTTTAATCATAACCTTAACACATATGCATTACCTTTGAAAGTAATGCATGATAAACATGCCTAAACACAGCTGGTTAACCAATCCCGCGTAAGCAGTCCGCCTGCCGAAGGCCACCAGCAGGACGGGCACGAAGAAGGCTGGAGACTCCTGCAGGGCCCAGGCCAGCTTGGCCGGGACACTCCAGCTGGAGGAGCTGGCGTACCTGCCGTAAGGAGCCTCAGGGGCCAGGAGCGTCAGTAACCCATATATCATCGTTCCATAACTCATGCGGGTAATGAGCTCCTCATCACTGCTGGCCAGGAACACTGGATACACGTAAGCTTCTATTATACCTTCAGGACTCATGAGGTATAGTTCACGCACTATTTTGTATGCAAGCACACCCTTACATATAATCCCTGTGGTGCAGTGGTAAGACACTCGACCCGCGCTAAGCAAGTGTTTTGGCCAGGGTTCTCTCCTATCTCAGGGATGCCAGAGCAGCCATGCCCGAATTGCTGAAAGTAGCGAGCTGACGGTCTAAAAGTAACGAATTTGTAATAATAGTAGCCCAATTTTTTGTTTAGTAACTGATACGGTTTTCAAAGTAATATATTTTAACACATAGAGTACACTAGACGATTTTAATAGTTATATTAATATTATCTCCGCGTCCTTCCACGTCTTCACGGTTGAAGATTATCAAGATCTTCTTTCTCTGCATCCACAACCCCGTTCTTGTATATTGCAGATTTATATTTAAGCATTGACAAGGGTGGTTAAAATGACGAGCAACAAGTTCCATTTTATTCAAAATATATTTTGATTCCTAACATTGATGTCAAAAGCTCAAATCCCATTCGATTTCTCAGTTTAGTTTTCACAGATGTTATTCTCGAAAATACCCGTTCAACGAGGACATTACTTATTGGTAAGTTGTATATTTTTTTTGCGAGGTCAATCAGTATGGGATCGCCAGCAGCGTTCTTGACAGTTATTGCCTTGGTCCAAAATGACGATCCAGATGTAATTCAGACTGCAACTCATCCTCCTGTTTAGAGAGTACCTATTGTGACGATCGTCAATTGTCAGAATTCGTACGTTCTTAGCTTTTAGATAGTACTATACTGACTAGTAAGGAATTCTTTTAAACTAAATGAAGCAAAAACACAAACTTAAATATTTCTAGACCAAGTATTTATTTGTTTATTTATTTATTTATTTATTTATTTATATATATACAAGAAGGTACATTGGGTTTGTGAGAATACATTGAATAGTACAGTATTTACAATCTTGTAAAGCCACTAGTACGCGCAGCGTTTCGGGCAGGTATCTGTTCTTGCTGCTACTGTCTCTGCAACCCGTCCTCAACTCAAGTTCATTACATCTAGCGGTCGACCCCACAGACGCAGTCATAAATTTTTACATAATTGTGCTCCAAAATAACGCTCATGAATCAGATGTGCGATATTTCCAATATTTTGAAAACTGTAAGGGAGTTTGGGCCAAATCGCCGTAATCACTAATTGCCTTATTTTAGGTACAAAAACTCGTAATTTCAAACTCCAAATATGTGCAGTGAGCCAGAATTCGGCTCCAAAATAACGCTCATAAGTCAGATTTGCGATATTTTTTATATTTTAAAACTGTAAGGGGGTTTGGTCAAAATGTGACCCATCGCCGTTTTCACTAATTGCCCTATTTTCAGAAGAAAAAGTCGTATTTTCAAACTCCAAATATGCCCAGTGAGCCAGAATTCGTCTAAAAAATAACGCTCATGAGTCAGACTTAATTGCGATATTTCCGATATTTTGAAAACTATAAGGGGGTTTGGGAAAAATGTAACCCATCGCCGTTTTCACTAATTGGCATAATTTCGGTATAAAAGTCGTATTTTCAAACTCCAGATATGTGCAATAACCCAGAATTCAGTTCCCCCCCCCCCCCTAAAAAAAACGCTCAAGAGTCGGATTTACGATATTTCCGTTATTTTGAAAATTGTAGGGGGGGGGGTTGTGCAAAATCGCCGTTTTCACTAATTGGCATATTTTCGGTATAAAAAGTCGTAATTTGAAAATGAAAATAGGCGCAGAGAGTCAGAATTCGGCTCAAAAATCACGCACAGGAGTCAAATTTCCTACATTTCAGACATTTAAAAAAAACTGCATGGGGGTTTGGGCAAAATATTACCCATCGCTGTTTTCACTAATTGGCATATTTTCGGTAAAAAAAACCGCCATTTGAAAATGAAAATAGGTGCAAAGAGTCAGAATTCGGCTCAAAAATCACGCTCAAGAGTCAAATTTCCGACATTATAGATATTTTGAAAACTGCAGGGGGGTTTGGGCAAAATATGACCCTTCGCCGTTTTCAGTAATTGGCATATTTTCGGTATAAAAAGTCATAATTTGAAAATGAAAATAGGTGCAGAGTCAGAATTCGGCTCAAAATTTACGCTCAGAAGTCAATTTTTTAAAATTTCAGATATTTTGAAAACTGCAGGGGGGGGGGGGGAAATATGACCCATCGCCGTTTTCAGTAATTGGCATATTTTCGGTATAAAAAGTCGTAATTTGAAAATGAAAATAGGTGCAGATAGTCGGAATTCGGCTCAAAAATCACGCTCAGTGGACAAATTGCCGACATTTCAGATATTTTGAAAACTGCAGGGGGTTTGGGCAAAATATGTCCCATCGCCGTTTTCAGTAATTGGCATATTTTCGATATAAAAAGCCGTAATTTGAAAATGAAAATAGGTGCAGAGAGTCAAAATTCGGCTCAAAAATCACGCCCAGGATTCATATTTTCAACATTTCATATATATTGAAAACTACAGAGGGGGGAGGGAAGGTTTGGGCAAAATATGACCCATCGCCGTTTTCAGTAATTGGCATTTTTCGGTATAAAAAGTCACATTATGAAAATGAAAATAGGGGCAGAGAGTCAGAATTTTGCTCAAAAATCACACTCAGGACTCAAATTTCCGACATTTCAGATATTTTGAAAACTGCAGGGGGGTTTGGTCAAAATATGACCCATCGCCGTTTTCAGTAATTGGCATATTTTCGGTACAAAAAGTAGCAATTTGAAAATGAAAATAGGTGCAGAGAGTCAGAATTCGGCTCAAAAATCACGCTCAGGAGTGAAATTTCCGACATTTCAGATATTTTGAAAACTGCAGGGGGGTTTGGACTAAATATGACCCATCGCCGTTTTCAGTAATTGGCATATTTTCGGTATAAAATTCATAATTTGAAAATGAAAATAGGTACAGAGAGTCAGAATCCGGCTCAAAAATGACGCTCAAGAGTCAAATTTCCGACATTTCGGATATTTTGAAAACTGCAGGGGGGTTTGGGCAAAATATGACCTATCGCCGTTTTCAGTAATTGGCATATTTTTGGTATAAAAAGTCATAATATGAAAATGAAAATAGGTGCAGAGAGTCAGAATTCGCCTCAAAAATCACGCTCAGGAGTCAAATTTCCGACATTTCAGATATTTTGAAAACTGCAGGGGGGCTTGGGCAGAATATGACCTATCGCTGTTTTCAGTAATTGGCATATTTTCGGTATAAAAAGTCGTAATATGAAAATGAAAATAGGTGCAGAGAGTCAGAATTCGGCTCAAAAATCACGCTCAGGAGTCAAATTTCAGACATTTCAGGTATTTTGAAAACTGCAGGGGGGTTTGGGCAGAATATGACCTATCGCTGTTTTCAGTAATTGGCATATTTTCGGTATAAAAAGTCGTAATATGAAAATGAAAATAGGCGCAGAGAGTCAGTATTCCGCTCAAAAATCACGCCCAGGAGTCAAATTTCCGACATTTCAGATATTTTGAAAACTGCAGGGGGGTTTGGGCAAAATATGACCCATCACCGTTTTCAGTAATTGGCATCTTTTCGGTATAAAAAGTCGTAATTTGAAAATGAAAATAGGTGCAGATAGTCGGAATTCGGCTCATAAATCACGTTCAGTTGACAAATTGCCGACATTTCAGATATTTTGAAAACTGCAAGGGGGTTTGTGCAAAATATGACCCATCGCCGTTTTCAGTAACTGGCATGTTTTCGGTATAAAAAGTCGTAATATGAAAATAAAAATAGGTGGAGAGAGTCAGAATTCAGCTCGAAAATCACGCTCAGGAGTCATATTTCCGACATTATAGATATTTTGAAAACTGCAGGGGGGTTTGGGCAAAATATATTCCATCGCCGTTTTCAGTAATTGGCATGTTTTCGGTATAAAATGTCGTAATATGAAAATAAAAATCGGTGCAGAGTGTCAGAATTCAGCTCAAAAATCACGCTCAGGAGTCAAATTTCTGACATTTCAGATATTTTGAAAACTGCAGGAGGGTTTGGGCAAAGTATGACCCATCGCTGTTTTCAGTAATTGGCATATTTTCGGTATAAGAAGTCGTAATTTGAAAATGAAAATAGGTGCAGAGAATCAGAATTTGGCTCAAAAATCACGCTCAGGAGTAAAATTTCCGACATTTTAGGTATTTTGAAAACTGCAGGGGGGGTTGGGAAAAATATGACCTTTCGCTGTTTTCAGTAATTGGCATATTTTCGGTATAAAAATTCGTAATTTGAAAAGGAAAATATGCGCAGAGAGTCAGAATTCGGTTCAAAAATCACGCTCAGGAGTCAAATTTCCGACATTTCAGACATTTTGAAAACTGCAGGGGGGTTTGGGCAAAATATGACCCATCGCCGTTTTCAGTAATTGGCATATTTTCGGTATGAAACGTCGTAATTTGAAAATGAAAATAGGTGCAGAGAGTCAGAATTCGGCTCAAAAATCACGCTCAGGAGTCAAATTTCCGACATTTGAGATATTTTGAAAACTGCAGGGGGGTTTGGGCAAAATATGACCTATCGCTGTTTTCAGTAATTGGCATATTTTCGGTATAAAAATTCGTAATTTGAAAAGGAAAATAGGCGCAGAAAGTCAGAATTCGGTTTAAAAATCACGCTCAGGAGTCAAACTTCCGACATTTCAGATATTTTGATAACTGCAGGGGGGGTTTGGGCAAAATATGACCCATCGCCGTTTTCAGTAAGTGGCATATTTTCGGTTTAAAAAGACGTAATTTGTAAATGAAAATAGGTGCAGAGAGTCAGAATTCGGCTCAGAAATCACGCTGAGGAGTCAAATTTCCACATTTCAGATATTTTGAAAACTGCAGGGGGGTTTGTGCCAATTATGACCCATCGCCGTTTTCAGTAATTGGCATATTTTCAGTATAAAAAGTCGTAGTTTCAAACTCCAAATATGTGCAGTGAGCCAGAATTCGGCTTAAAAATAACGCTCATGTATCAGGTTTGCGATATTTCCAATATTTTTAAAACTGTGGGGGGGGGGGGAATGTGACCAATCACCGTTTTCAGTAATTGGCATATATATTTTCGGTATATAAGTCGTAATTTCAAACTCCAAATGTGTGCAGTGAACCAGAATTCGGCTTAAAAATAACCCTTTTGAGTCAGATTTGCGATTTGCGATCTGCCCGAAACGCTTTGCGTAATAGTGGCTTTAGGCATTGTATGTACTAGCTCTATCTATTAACCCAACAAACTTTGTAAAATCTCTTTATGTATGTACCTTACCTAAATAAACATTTATTTATTTACTTATTTATATTTCCGATATTTTAAAAACTGTTGGGGAGTTTGGGTAAAATGGTGATTTGGAATTTAAAATCTTGTCCCATACTA